TATTAATTATTATCTTACATGTACCATTATTTATTATGCCTTTATTATTATCATTTTTATGAGTAAAAGAAAATATTATTTCATTCTTAATTAGTAAAATAATTACCCTATAACAGATCTAAAACCAGATGTCTATAGGTCATCAGTCTTTATATTGACAATCTAAGGTTAAGGTTATCGTATCCATTAGGAATTGAAACAGTCTTTGGTATCATGATCAGAATGTAACAATAACTATCGAATATGCAGCTTTGCGATTTCAGCCTCAAATGTCGAAAATATAATTTACCACTAACTGTCTAAAATAGTAAAAATTTTAAGATTCACAATTAAATTATTAGATCTAATGGTTGCATTCACACCGTTAGTACCGCAATCTATAAATTCAGTTACTTCATGCCTTTCAATTTACCCTTGACATCTATTTTGCTATTATGTCGGTTAATTATCAGCAATTACTAATTTACTGTAATAAGTTCTTACATCAGTAATGTCCAAGTGCCTAATCAACAATCTCTTATCGTGATTATTAAATTAGTCGAATGCAATTAAAGTGATACTAAATTTAATATCAATCAAATGATATGTGCTTACGATCTGTGCTGCTTTTATGAGTTTAACAAGGAATATTATACCCTCTATCGGTTACAGCAGAAGCTTTCGCTTTACATATCACTACGATTAGGAATCTTCAAAACCTCCTATCAGTGGCACACATTCTTGTGCTATATTCTTTTTATATTATATTGGCACGTGATTACTACAGGCGCTTACCAACCAACCCCTCAAATAATATTAAAGATTATCTCTTAGAACTCTATCAAGGATTACTGGAATCTCAATATTTTTAGTGCTAGAAGTTCTTGACCCCTTCGATTAGATTAACGTATGTTAATTTCTCACAATAAATCAGCTTAGAATACATCATTTAATTTTAAACAAATGGATGGCATTGTTAAAAAGAATGTCAACATGGAAGAAGGCCAATTTTAAAATTACTAGAATCGTAATACATCTATTGTACTATCGGAATTAAATAGTGAAATAGCTCAATAATAATTTCTAAACGAAATCTATGATTTCAAGCCACATAATTATTTCTCAACACAATTAAAAAATCTAAAAATCTATGACCTTCAACCACGGTTCAGGTGTCTATTATATTCAATAGAAGTAGAATACTTCAAAGTATTAGGAGCAAGAATTTTAGTAATCAATATTAAAAACGCGCCATAAAAACTGACCCAAAATGTATAAAATGGCAGCTAATTTATAACACTGGCAAAATGCCACATGGGCCGATTGACATAGCATGCATAAAAGATATTGCAAGTAAATTGAATCACTTCCTATTTGCTATCACTAGCCTGCATTAAATCTAAATTTGATTTCTATATCATCAATTTATGTGTGCTGACCGACATCATAGCTTGAGAATTTTCGGTGAACTCAAACAATGAGAGAACCTGAAGTAATAAAATTAACCTCAATGTTTAGATTAATTAGAAGTTCTACAGTATAAATGATGTCATAAACTCTATTATCACGTCTTAATAATCAGACTATAGGCAATTATTTACTTTAAAGCAAAAGTAAACTGAAAGTTCAGCGATTACGGACAATTTCAAGTGAAAACATAATATGTATTAAGCTAATTTTAGCAACTGTTGTATACTAAACAGAAAATCGAGAATTTAATCTGTGCAGTACGTCATTCAGTTGCTGCGACTAGACTGACACCAGAATAAAACCATTTTCTTGATTATTTTTCGCCATTTTGCACAGACAAAAGTACTGATCTTCTGTCGAATATTATTATTTCTAAATATTGGTGGCGAACAAAATATCAAGTTACTGTTTTTCTTTTAGGAATTTGTGAAAACAAAACATGCTTTCATTACTCAAGTTAAAATTTGAGTAATTACACCAATCTAAGACTAATTACAGTCAGTATCGAAGTGAAAGGGTTTACAGATGAATACCATTTAAAAACTTATATTCAAACTTTGAGATAGATTAGAACATAGAAAAATACCTTTCTGAGTTAAAATTGGTGCGGAATATGAGTTGAGTTTTGTTTCCGAAATCTATCGTTACCAAATCCGGCTTTCATTAGCGGTGAAGTTAAATAATAGAAATATCATGCATTACTATGCTGTCTAATAGCGTCATAGAAGGAGAAAAAAATAATAAATGCAATTTAATTATTATATTCAAAGCTTAGATATAACTTAAACAACCAAAGCAATGTCAGTTAGAAGAATTGTATTCACGTATACCGACAATTCTGCGCTAACTTCTTTGGTCGCGTCTACGGAAGAAAATCCGAGCACTGTGTTATCTCGAGTAATGATAGTATAGACGTTAATAATTTATTATTACAAGTATTACGACTAATGCCATAAGATTTATTGGTGTTAAATCATAGACTGGCTTTAATTATTAGGGTCGACTGACATCTTTGAAGGCTAACTAATTGATTTCAAACTTAAACATATGAGTATTAAAATATTACTTACAATAATATTGCCATGAAAATAAACTGCAGTATCAATTCTGCAGATACATCAGCGATCCAATGGCTGGCAAGGAGAATCAGTCATTAAAGAATTGATTCGCGTGTTGAGCTACTAGAATATTAATTAAGTTTATAACAATACTATTGCAACTTTTACGCTTACTAAATCTACTATTTATAGTATTAAAGTAATTATGAAGTGGACGTTATCAATTTTAGTCGGTGGCATGGGCCAACGATAATTCCAGGCAATGAAAACTTTATTTCGGCTTATTATTGTATGAAAATGCTTTTGCGTGGCAATATTTTAAGTCTGAATGTTTATGAGTACTTATTGACTCATTTATTAATAGGGGGTAGATTATTCAAATTTATAGTATGATATAAAATTAATATAAATATTGGGAACATTTACTTTCTAAGACAAAATTAGAATCAGTATGAATGTTTATTTTTTACCTGCGGTAATGATTTAAGCAAAAGCTCTTTATCGAGACATTTCCAGTACAGTATTTCTGGTACTGGATTGATAAAGATTGTAATTCGCTGAATTCAACATATTGAACGTGCGTGGCTTGGTTATGGCATAACATCCCACGTCAATAGGAGCTTGGTATAATAATACGGCGTCTATATAAATTTTTTAGCGGGCGTTAAAATGCAAGATTACAATAATCTATAAATACTTATAAAAATCTTATACAGTAAGGATAGTATAGCCTATAAAGTATATTGCCATGGCTGTGAATTACCGTAACATGAATATTATAGAGCATTTTTATATTAAGTTTTGTGTGCGCTTATATGTCGGTGATATTTACGATCTTCTTACCGTAATACCTTAGAGAAAGGTAGTTGTTGATATATAAGCAATCCTTTGTAGCATGCTTTGCCTTATCCTAATCTAGCATTGAAATATCAACCAATTGGCATTCCAATTTTCGGTAACGTAGACCAAAGAAAACCCTTTTTATATTGTATTTTTCAAGTTAGCAGTATTCCTAGCTTACAACAAAGTTAAAAGACTTCCTGTAGGCCTGTAGGGAATAAAATCCAAAAAGCAAAGGAATTTGCCATATTATTAATTTCTTGAAATCCTAAGTATTATTTAAAAAAACTTTCCGTGACGGCGTATATCCTTATAACACCATAAGATAGCATTGCCAGTAACTTGTTAGGGTTCGTATCGTAATTCACGTTATTATTCTGATTTTTTTGCATTTGCGAATTATATCGATGGCTTACATAGATTTTTATAATAAAACGATATACGTATGCCACTATGAAAAATATAAGACAAATTTACGTACACAGCTACTATCAGTACGCGTACAGTATATTGAATAGGTTCGCTTTGAGTAATTAATAAGACGTGCAAAGCCACAATTTGGTAGTCAACTTTGGCTTTAAACTAAGTAAGGCATTGAGAAGATCATGACTGGAATTCAGGGAGTCTTCATGTGTCACAGGTCATAGAGTTTAAGGGATTGATCCTTATTAATTAACTATTAATATTAATTGCAAGAACTATGAGCAAACGTATTCAGTTACCGCAGCTTATCTGTGTTTTTAATTGGACAAAGTCTAACCTTCTATCGGCATCAACTTCTTATGCCAAAGGCAATAATTTTCCATAGTTTAATTTATTTAACAAAAATGTGAGCATTGGCACACTTCGGGTTTATCTGTAGCTTATATACTGCAATTCAACAGCTTCTACTACTCGCTAATCTTACTGAGTCTTTCAATATAGAGATTTATGCCGGTAAATTTGTGCAGGCATAATGTTTTATTGACATCAAAAGTGAGCATAGAAGCATTACTGCACTACATCATATTAGAATAATAATTTTATGTACATCAATAAGGAGCATAGATGTTCGCTGCTATGCGCCATAAGTAGAAATGTACAAGTGCTTAAAGTAATGCTTAAGAGTAGCCATCTTTTCTATGATCTAATCTATCACGTGATACTTGCGGTTGCCATGGAGACTTCCCCAATAGGCGATGTTTTAAGTCTGTTTCCAGCATACTCTCTAACTATCGAAGTCGTATAGTGGCTTCTACATAATTACAACCGAACGGAAACGTTAGATAATGCACTATGCTGTACAGTGCAAATAGCTTACAATAGATGGCATCGATATTACTGTGTCAGTACTTATTTGGCGTTTTTTATGGCTTAATTTGTACGTAAATCCATTTTAAGCCTTTGCATTACTTGATTGCGTATATTTAGTATTTACTTATTACAGTATGAATTTGATGAAAGCTTGTAGAGGTTACGCAAACAAGACTACAGCAATGAGAGAACTGTATGATCTGAGGTAAAAGGGTTACTATAGAGTAGTAGAAACGCCCGTATAAATATTAACTTTAGGAGGTTAATCTTGTAGTTATTGTCGTATCTTATATTATACCTGCACAGCTACAGGAGTATATCGTATTATTATAGTGTATTATCAGCACACAGGAAATATGAATGGCGGCCATTAATGGTGATCATATTCAACATTTAATACAAAAATGCAAGGTCGATGGCAGTATTTCCATAGACTTAAGCCAGATGAATATTACCCGAATCAGTGATGAATTACTGTCCTTGGATCATATTGAAGTAAGCCTTAAAAGTGTATTTGTTCTCTTCTATTAAAGCAATATTATTCGTCTCAAAGTTTAGTACGGTCCAGCGATTGACATTTTATTTTATCTTATTAACTTCTTTTAACGTTGTAATTTATTCGAATTTCATGATCAGACAGATAGTAACTTTTGGTTTACAGTGTCTAAGTGAGATTAAATGAGGATAACGATAATATTTTCTGTTCTGCTGCTTATTTATTGTATGTAAGAGTAGAATATATAAGTATGCTCTACTGTACACATGAACGTTGAACAAAAATATTTAGCAACTAAAAAAATGAAGAAAAACTGTTAGAGAGGATATTTAATAAAAATGCCATCACATCACCCGATTTACCTGCTGTATAGGATAGTACTTGTACTTAGTAAAGAATTATAGAGTTTAACCCAAAATCACAATTTTTTGATGACAGGCTTACCACAGCATCAAACAAACGACATACTCGTTATTAATCGCTGTGCTATAGTCTCTGCTAAATATATCATCTTAATTACTCTAAATGCTTATGACCATCTTTTCATCTTGGCAATTAAAAGATAGCAACGAATGAATTAGGAAGGCAGTATTACAACTGTTATCATATGAATGCTATTTTGGGGGCTTAATTCTATCATCTTCTTACGATCAAGAATCTGTTTCTAAATTGTAGCCTTGCTTGTGTATTAAGAAATTGCAGATTTCATTATGATACCAATCAATCTAATTCATTCTGAAACTCCTTAATCTGTGATTAAATCACAGTAACACGGAATGCTTTATAAATGCATTTCGAAGACACGTAACTTCGAATCATACACGATTCTTCATCCTAGGTTGATAAGGTGATTGTAATTAACGCCCTACTTAAACATTTACCGACGTTGGTAATCTAACTACAGAAAGGGCCTTGCTAGCAAAATTATCACTTGCATGGCATGCGGTAATCAAACTATATCTCAAGTTAAAATTTGATGTAATGAACAAATGGCAGTAATTAATAATAGAAATGTTACCTATATATTTCCTTTCTGACACATACACAGAATTTAGTACTGCATGTAGTTAACTATCATTGATCAGTAAAAAACATTTAAAGGTCAATATAAAGAAAGAAAATTAAACGGCAATTATTACAACTCTTAACTTGTAATCTGTCTTATGTATGATTTCTAAGCCAATAAGAGTTTTAACAATCAAAAATTTAAGCCCTCCTCCGCCATTTTTGTCACCGCCAATAAGATCTCTAGGAGTTAAAGCATCGTTACTACCTACTGTACCGTAGCTTAACGCTACATTTAGTTTTAGCAGTAATCTTTTTCTCCCTTATTCCTGAATTCACGCGATTATATGCTAACTAAATATAGAATTTAATTGTATTGTATACTGTGCTATAAAACTGATTCCTTATTACTATATCAAAAATGGCTATAAATAGACATGTAACTGCAATCTATGTTTACCATTTATAGTTTTAAAAATTAAAAGTTCTAATTGAAAAATAAAGAACGATTCTATCGATTTGTGCGTTTCACTAAGCTAAATTTAGAAATGATAAATAATTCACTATCGTATGTTTATATTTTCGAATTATAGCAATTATATCTTGAAGGAAATAAATTACTGGCACTTCCAGATGACTTTTTTGATAGATTACCTTCACTGAGATGGCTAGACTTAAGAAATAATCAGTTGCAAAGCATTCCTTCATCTATCGGAAATCATAAGTAAGTGAAGTACCCGGTACTTAAAATCATAAAGCAATGGGGCAATATCCAGTAATTAGTGCAAGATTAAATTGAGTCACAGAGAATAATGTTATAGTTACTTATCCGTAAATATCATGATCTTGCGTCAACGAATTAAAATAACGATACATTTATTGTTAGCTTTAATGATAATACCATTCCTTTTCAATTGAAAATCTTACATCTTTATTAATAGAACCCTGACTAATTTACTTTTAAGCGGAAATTTACTGACGGAGTTGCCAGTAGAATTAGGTAGGATCGGCCTTTACTCAACAGATAGTTTGAATTGCGTATCAATCGAATAGCAAATTCGCATCGTTTGCACTATTTCGGTATACTATGATTGCAGCGCCATTAATATTTACTATTTACGTAATTTATGGTAAAAGGTAATTTGACAACAATGGAGGGTATTAATTTTAATAATAACCCACTCAGTTTTCCTCCAACAGAAATTCAGCAACAAGGAATTCAGGTATTTTTGTGTTATAGCGCTATTATATTCAACAGTCTCAATATGTCTTAAACTGTGAATTATTATTGTCTACTAATGGCTACCTTGCCGATGCTTTATAATTATCATATATTTATCGAACGAAAACATTAATTACAGTTTAAGGCCATTTTATTACGAAGTAAATTACAATGCAATTAATAAATTTTAGGACTTTGCCTAATTTTTATACCGACTTTCGATAGAAAGATGGGCAGTAGATTACATTACTTACGTGGATTCTAACACTTTTTAATGTTGATTCAGGTCCTCAACACTTTACTCCGTAGATCTTCATTAAATAATTAGAAAATATTCTCTGATTCTTATAAATGAACCTTTATATGTTCATGTCAATAGGCTCTCTTTGATAATGTACTACGTTTAAAACTTTTAGCGAAATTCGGAATACTTATTAATCCAATAGCGTAGAGGTGTCATGTACCTATGCTGACTTTTAATTTCTCTTAAATTCATAAAGGCTAACACTTATAAATGGTTTACATACTGTAGATTTCATTTAGAACTGATCTGATAGAATTTAGATTATAAACAGCGTTCTTATTTTTTGATTAATTGATTTCAGTATAATCAATGTAACTGTACCATTTAATCATAAGAAATGGAAATTACAATCACTGTATCGTTATTGTATGCGTTGGTGTTGGAATATTAATTGGCATACTGATACCTATACTGCCATTATATTAAATTCAATTACAATTAATAAATTCTAAAATACCGATTTGAATATGAAAATACCTCAATTGTCTAGGGAATACTGCAATACATGAAAGAAATACTAAGGGAAAAACAGAAGACCCAAGAGACCACTACAGATAATGAACAAGACGAAGGTTAGGCTATGCACGTGACTAATCTACAATATAGGACCATCGCAATTAAATAAATGCCTATTTAATTAACGGCAATAAAAAGCAATCTTGACTCGCGTATTTCGTCTGGTACCATTTCGCAATTCTTCATATTATCCATAACGCCCTGCTCCGTTTCTGTTTTCGTAGAAAAAAATGTACCAAGTTTGCCTTTAGGACTAGACCACTCTGATGGCAAGGCGGAGGATGAAATTACCGAAAATTCAGACAAGATGACCGACTTCGAAGGTTCGTTAATATTCAAATTACGGTACACATCTTCAAGTCATGCATTCCAATCTTCTGTCCGACTTAAGGCATTTTTACGTATTCGTTTACCTGTCAAATTTAACGTCACGCTCATAGAGCTACTGTCTAATATGTCGCGAAAGAGTTCAAATGATGCAACCAAGTAGATTCTAGTATATTACGGATAGCTAAGTCATGGTCAAAATTTTACATTTCGACCAAAGACTGCTAAGTATCGCCACTTTCTAAATCTCAATCATGACCATTGCTTTTCTGCGACTTCAATGATGTCATTCTAGCATCTAACCAGTAATCGGTGCCTTGAGATAAATTAGCTAAAATCTATTAAACTGTTGTTTGATCACATGAATAAATCAGATTATGGGATAGGTCATAATCGCCTTTGTTTTTTGTCACAGTATCATCAAGCTTCAGGCCATATATTATAATTATATTATATTAATTAGCTATCCTTTGAATCTGTTATTGGGAGGATATGCGAATATGCAACTTCAGTACGAAATATAGCATCATTGTTATAGGTTGAAATTTTTTACTTTTTTAAAGATGTTATAGGCATTACTTAATAGTATTAATTTGATATACTTGGAATTCTAGCTAACATAGCTAAGTCAAAGAAAAAATTAAAATTACAGCTAAGATTATTTGATCTGGCACATTATATATTACTGTGATTTCTTATTTAACCAGCGATTGCCGAGAATTTGACGTTCGGTATAGGTCAATTAATGCATCAATCAGGTAACGGCTACGGCAGCGCAAACAGCAATAGCAAAAGTGATTCTAGTCAGGGCAAGCCTATAAATATAAAACATTCATCTGCTGGCCGTACAAAGAGCAATCCCATGGTTGGTGAAAAACAAGTTACAATTAATAAGATTCAAAAGAAAATTAAAGAGGATGAGCATTCATGGATGCAAAAGAGAGATAACCAGCAGAGAGAACACGAACTTCAAAAATTAAAGTAATCGTTGCATTGATGCTCATATTAACATGCTATTTGATCATCTTAATAACATAGCTAGCAGAGAGTCGTTACCATGAATTCTTGTCGATGTCTTATAAAATTTGTAAATTATCAAATTGCATAACAGCCGTTTAAAAAATATACCTTTATATTATGCATGCGTGATATAAATTTACTTCATTCATTGTCACTATAAATAATATATAGAAGTAAAAATACTCTTCGCGATTGGCGTCAAGAAGGAAAGCGACTACAGCGTAATAAGCAAATGGCCGCTGCAATGAATCCAGAGGGTAATTTTGTCAGGAACGATATCGTATATTGATTACAACGTTAGGCAGAATAGATAATTTAATACGAGCTAATTTTTTAATAACTAGCTACAAAAGCATCTGTTTCTCCACCTTATGGTATTCACGAGAATCCAACGAGGGTGGACAACACGCAACAGGAGGCTGAAGCAAAGCCAGTAACTAAGTAATAATTATTACAATGTCATTCCTGTCAGATGATAAATTCTAGCTGCTTTGGCGTGAATAAATGCCATAAAGCATGCCTAATCAAGTATTCTTTTTCGATGGTACTAAATAAACTAGAAAAAGCCTATTAAGCAAATTAGAAGATAGGATTAAGTCTCATACCATACACTTAAATAGAAAATTTGGTCAACATCAAAGTGCATCCGAAGAATTGGCAGAAGCTGAAAGGAATTTAAATATCGTAAGGATACGTAATTTTTAACACCAGATGTAACGTAGATTAGATTCTCGTAGGCCGAAAGTACAACAGTAAGATATATAAATATTTATTAAAGTTATGAAATTATAATTAAGTCAATAAGTACTAAAATAAATTTGTCCAACATCAAGGCTCAGCAACATCAACGCGAATTACAAAAGGTCAAAGCCGCTGATGATGAATTTATGGCATACAATCCGGTTGCATAGCAAGTAATTTATACTCGTATTCGAAGATTGCGCTGAAAGAATATACGGACTGTATTCTGGTTTGCATTGCATCCTTCTTAAACAATCCTATTTACTATAATCCCAAACTATAGGTTCTAATTCTTTTGGTATGAAGTTCTATTTCAATAGCTAAAAATGAATTTTTACAAGCAAGAATAGACTTAAAAAACTAAATTTCGAAGTCATCAGTCACATTTGCAAACTCAAAAACAAATACTGCTTTATTTTATTTTACTAATTACTGTATTAAGAGATAACTATGGATGTTTAACAGAGCTAACTATAAATGTTATTCAAATCGACAAAAATCGAAATTTTTACTTATCGTATCCATAACGCCATTTAAATACGTATACTGTATAACTTATATATTAATAAAAGACAATTTGCATGATTTACTGCTTGCCAAGGAATGCCTATCGTAACGATGCAACTAGGATCCTAGTGCGGGCGCAATTTTAAGTTGATTTATACAGTATACGTATGTGCTACGGTGATAGCAGGCAGTAATTAGCTTAGTTGTCCAGCAGCTGCGAGGCATTAATTCATATACAGGTATCGACCTTACGAATTTAAAATATTTACAATCTATCCTGATGAATAGGTTGTTTACTTTATACAAGCATTTATACAGTCAGATATTCCAGTTATGTCTATATCCATGCAATTGTTAACTAGTTTACAGTACATGGAATGATAATGAAAGCGGTAATAAATTAGAATTATTTATCAACGCAATACTTGTAGTCATAATAATACTGCAATAAAATGTTTAGTAGTAACAAGTTTTTTACTCCGAGTTACATCAAGCTGCATTAGAATCTTTAATCCAAGCAGAATTTCTCATTTCCACCCAAGGGTTACCACGGGTTGTTAAAACATCGGCTAACTGCAATGGCACTTTTCTATTAGCAGCTGTAGTAGCTGCAATACTAAGATACGCAGCTACAGTCACCAACCATTCTGTTTCTATCATTAAACTAGCTAGATCACGTTTACTTTCTGCATCCAAATTAATCCTACTGTCCTCAATGATATCTTTCAATTCATCAGAATCTTTCATTTTCAAAATTAGGTTCCGCGAACTCCATGGATCATCTGATACCTCAACCCTAACACTGTCCACATGGGCCAAATTGATACTCTGGCCTTTGCATGCACCATTATGAAGAAATAAGATTTTTTCGTTGACTATCGTTCGCATCATAAACTGTAAGCCTAGAGTTGTAAATACAGTAAAGTTAGGCTGTAGATAATAGCCAAATTGCCAAGGGGAATTAAAATAGCCATCTACTTCACCAACAGAAAATGATGCACAACGAGTTAACTTAGGTATGGATTTTTTTAATTCTTCTATGTCATCTCGTGACAATGCTGTATCGATGAGGCACTGAGGTTGAGACCAGGCATCCTCTACGGCTATACGATCACCCAAGTTGACAATGACGAATCTATCATTAACCTTATGATTGTAATATCTGCAAGTTCCAAGAAAGAGATGCTTGCTTTCCACATTTGCCTCTAATTTCTTGTCTACTTCATTGAGAACGTCTTTCAATGTATGGTGAGCATTTCTAATCGTCTCCTGGCTACTGAAATTTGCCTTTTTCACTCTGTTGAGTAAGGTTCGAAATTGACTATGGCATGGTTTACTTTGCAATAAATTGAGTTTTTCCAGCTGTAGCACGCGATTGCTAACCATTCGAGATATAAAGGAAGCCATGCAATCTGTTGGCTATCTTTTACCTTGAATCTTCTCTGCTCAAAACTGGTGAGAAAGTCTAATGGAGTAATTTGAAAGTGGTCGAGCACAGCACCAGCAAGGATGTAAAATGATGCTTATGTTGCTGCCAGTACGAGTATCACGACTACAGTACTGCGCACTGTACACTGTACACTGTATACTGTAGAGTCCGGGAATCCGTGGTCCATGCCATCTCCTCTCTGGACTGCAGCATCGACGGACTGTCAACGTTTCCCCGGGACAGCCTTCATTCATTAGTGGTTCCACTACGCCATTTTTTCCTTACTCGTTCCTGCTTGTTATTTCGCTTAGAGATTTTGGCACACTACCTTAATTAAACTTTTCCTACTTGTATGATAGTACATGAACATCTCTATCTCAAACCATCTCGGCTTTTATACCCTCGACGATAGATAATACCCTATGCCTTCCTAACACTTGGAAGTCCTACCATTGTGGTTCTTCTCGATGGTCCTAACATAACTATTTTATGTCATACGGTAGACAACAGTGTGCACTAGGTACTTAGGTAGTACTTCGCTAATCTGAGCACTTTGGAAATGTCGGTTATGTTCATACAATATACATCTTAAAATCATGCAATTGCAATTAATTTTATACAAATTGATGCAAAAATTGTTATATCGAAATGTTGCTTCTTTAGTAGCTACTGCTACGTAAGTGATTGTACAGACTGCATGGACTACTGTAGTATGATTAGCATCTAAATCTGTAGACTTAGTGAGTCCAGGATCCCCATACATTCGGATATTTCCATTCTTGCGTCCATTTGTACAAAATTGATCGCAATCACATCGTTCAAAAAGTGGCCATTTTTACTATTTAAACGTATCGAAGAAAATAAATCTCATTGTAATCCATTATACTGCACTGTATATTTGTGGATTTCTAAATACTCCTGGCCAGGCTTACCTACAGTACAGTACAAGCCCATTATATAGTCCACACTGCGGCATTTTAGTCTTACTCAGTATGTGCGGTATGCAAGTACCCTTGATTGGCCATCAACCTGCTTTACACACAGTCTTTGCGTTAAAAAATGTTCAATTTTCAAACGAATCTTCACAAACAGTTCATAAGCATGCTAACTTCATAAGGAAATCGCAAACTACTTCAAGAAAGAATATCGTACCATGATATGACGATGCCATGTATCTACAAGATGGTGCTGTTAGAACTTCACTATGTGCACTTGACGTTTTGAAGCGATCAAAATGGCTTCTTTTACATATTCCTTAGTCTTAACGTCAGATACGTCAAATACTGCCGATGTAAGAGACGATGGGAATGTTGTACTTTCGTTTCTAGCTGCCAATGATACTATAAAGATCGACAACTGGTTTGTACAATGGACTCTGCAATGCTCATACACATACAGTCATGGACTACAAGAAATATTCTCAAAGTATCGATTAATTGAAAAGTACTTTTTTAGTAGTCTATAATACAGTACAGAAACTACAATTTACAAAATTATAAATTAATGGATGAAATAACTCACGCAATTCAGATTTTGCGTGATAATGAAAGGATTTCATAATCCCTTTCCAATGTTCCATTACATCAGCCATCATCTAGCATTGCTTTACTAATTTAAGCATAACAGACTACTTAACGAGGGATGTAATTCCTTCATTCTACTATTACAATTCAACTCATATTACTGTGCTAATGTAATTAGCTGAAATCTCGATAATGTTGCATTTTATAGAAGCCCCTAAAAGTAGGCTATCACACACCTTTATAGTATCGATTTATTATGCTACCGAACATGTAATTACATTACTGTACGATATACGTCAAGAGATAGTGATTTAAACCCTTTGAGCTATAGTAGATGATTTCTGCATTCAGGATCAATGAAGGAAGAGAATTCATGGAAAGGCGGAATGATACTGTATATATACTAGCGACATGGCAGTAAAAGACGGACATGCCTAGAAAATCCAATAAAAGCTCAATCGTTATATTAATTCAATTCACATACAAGAGAACCAAGCGTCGAACAAGACTACATGCAACCTTACTGTGTTGTAATAAAACTATTCAAAGGTCTTAATGTCGATTGCAAAAAATAAATCACTAGTTTCTCAATTACGGGATGATTTGGTAATTATAAATATTTACTTGTAGAAGATGATTATCTACGTAACTTAAATACCAATAAAGGAAATCTCCATTTATGCCTACTATCAAAAATTTACTGTCATACGATTTAGTCAGCGAGACCAAGATTTAATGTACGTGTTGAATAATGTGAGTGCAGAGCTTTACTAGAACAACCAAAAAATATATTAAGCGACCGATTACTAGAAGGAGACTCCAGTGTTTATAATAACCTGCTCGCAAAATTTGTCGTTCTTATTTCATCTTATACTTTTCCATAATTCTATGTATACGCGTACGATATCCCAGTATCCTAGCAATAAAGTAGTTCACTGAATTTCGATATGCCATGGAACTATTAAATACAGCAGTAGTAATGAGGTACAACATAAGACAAGAACATGGAGAAAAATTTAGTAGTCCCCAGTGTAATATTCTTTCTTTATTGAATAGGGCCCAGCTTTAGTCAACTGCAAATTCTTGGGAGACTGTATTCTTCTTTTACTTTATCGATATCTGTTATGCTACCTGACGCTAGTTTTGAGACAATAGGTTAAAATATTGCTCTTCGACTACATATAGAATAGCGTATATCAAATACAATTCTCCCAGTACACTATATAGTAATACCAAAATCAAATACCTTCGTGCAAGTTGTTCAAAGTAGCACTCACAACATCGATTGCACACTTTTAGATTTAGGTATTAATCTTATACTTTTATTAATATATAAGCATATACACGGTCGTATATACTAACTTGGTAATTTCGCTCCAAAACGGATAAATACAATCATAATTACATTTGCATACGCTGTTCAACATTATGTTCTTATACAATTACAAGACGTTACAGACAAAGACACAACATTTGCTACACATTATTTTTATAAGTATATATAGATTTACTTAGATTATTCATACATATGTAAGTGAATGGATTAGGTTATAAAGTTATTTCTAAAAAATTTATACGATAAATATACCTATTGGTAATGAGAGATTAATAACAGTAAATAATTTACTGATTATTACAATACATTTCAACAATTTTAAATAGCTACAATTTCTAGGCCATCAATTTTACAAGCTTTAAGAGGATATTATTATAAGAACTTTAAAAAAATCCGTGTAAAAAGAACATTAAAAAAGATAAAATAAATACTAACAATTCTGCGCAATAACATTCTCGGATATTTCAAATATCCACCCCCAGTATAGTAAGCCAAGCCGGGTAGCTACAATGATATCTTACATCTTACTAGGACAAAGAATATAATAGTAATTCTTTCAACGGCTTGTGGCATCAGCAAACAATGAAATCTGGAATTATACTATATAAAAGTATACAGATATCTATTATGTTAGACACTGCCAAGTTGCGCGCAGAATATCTCATTTTAATCATTCAATTGCATTCTTTTGACTGCTAAGTTAGCTGTTCATTTTCGGCTAATTTTTCTCCTCTTAGGCTTAACTGGGCCCAGATTAATATTTGTATTGTGATTCTGCTTGCCCTCTGGAGGATCTTTAACATATTACAAAATTATTCATATTCAAACGATGAAATAACTTATTAACGGAAAGTGATAGCAATGTTTTCAACATTGATACTAAAAAATAAATAAAGTAACGTCTACTTCTAATATTACGAACAAATAACATCATTAAGCAATGAGTAATTACTTTGCAATTGTATTTTGTTTTGATTGTGTTGTGGAAGTGTTAAAAAGCCTATAAAAATTGAAGTCGAGAGTTTTCAATCTTCAATTCTAAGTTAATGTAACTATCATAAAACGGGGGACAACAATGAAAAATCTGTTTTTAACTTACTATTATTATCGGAACGCATTGGATTTTGAAACTGGAAATCGGTGCTTAATGATGGGACATAGCCAACTGAATCGCAGCCCATATTAAACCCTTGAGTGAAATCTTTACTTTGATTAGGCGTATGCAAGACCGACCCAGCACTACCATAGTAGGAACTTGCAAACACGTTGCTTCCATCAGAATATCCGTTAACTGGGAAACAAAACGCTGATGATACCTCGTTAGACCCATCATGATGACCACTAACGTCGTAATTTGATTGATTTCGTAATCCATCACTTTCTTGCATTTTTGGTGTGTTTGGCACACATTGAGAAATAATAGAAGTTGTTGTATTATAACCAAAAGCAGTAGGACTGGCTAGAGGCATACCAATTGGCAATCCCGTCTGTTGTTGTTGAAGAGAACCATTTGGAAATGGTAAAGGATATTTTTGCTGAATTGAGTACATTACTTCTGATACTTCTGATGCAAGCTTAGCAATTACATCCTATAACATATAAATAAATTGATAATATGGCTATTAGAATATAAAAAAACTACAGATTACATAATTAAAGCTCTCAGTCGTAAGTAATAAGCGAATATAATCCTCTCACTAGCACATTTATTTACCTTGGCAAGTCGATCTGTTTCCCCCGTATACCCAGGCATCATCTGCGCTAATCGTTGAAATCGTAGTTCTAAGGTTGGCTCCACAGCTATTCAATTGATATCAAGTATTTAAATATTTTAGAATCTGGCATTGATAGGGAATTAAACATTATTAAAGGATACTGCAACCGCTACAACCAAATTTCATGCTACCTGAATACATGAACTTTCCAGGTTTATTCCTGCAATACTGTCTGGACTTAAATGAGAGGGTTACATCAACTGTACCAGGTGACTGCATAGGTGGTGTTTGCACCTTTATGGCATGAGGCGAAATTAACTAATATAGAAATTAAATAACAAAAATTTTAGAATTATTAATTGAAAAGTGTAACAGCGCTATGTTCGTAAGCATTCAGGATATATTGAGCTGATATATATTAGATTTAATATTGATTGAGCCATTCACACGGCAAGGCTAATCATCAAAGAGCTATTATTATCGCTTAACTAATTAAAGAAAACCTTTAAAAACCATCTTAAGATCTTAAGTTGCACATGTACGTTAAATTATGTTGGCAGCAAAATTTTAAATTTTTGGGTTTCTTTTTCATACGATAATATCGCTATCCACGTTAAACAAGAACCTACCTCACTCCAAACATAAACATTTCCAAACGCTACTTGCAATCCTTCATAAAAGTTATCGCCAATAATAACAACACTTGTATATCCTGTAACCCAGCCTTCATCTGGACATAATGCTCTTATTCGCGGTGATTCATCTAATATCAGCATGAAAAAGTTTCAAAATTTTAGTGCTTTATTTTGACAAATCAGCTAAAAGAAGCTTTTCATTATCGATCATTAATAATTAAATTTACTCAATCCATGACGATAAATTTTAAAACCATATTGAATGCTATTGAGTAATGTACAAAAAATATGTCGACTTACTATCATTGCTGCCCTGCTTTTTGGGCTGCCTTCCATATTTTGAGTTGTTATGCACAAAGATGTTATCAGAATATGACAATACATCCTCGAGGGACTTGCTTGAAGCACATATCGCCAGCTAATATAATTGAAGACAATATTATAAGCAACTACGGTAATTTTATTTTTATTGTAAAGAAATTTACTCATGTAAACGCCTTGGCAAATTTATCTTGACTATGTAGCTCATTAAAAGAAAGTACGCTGATAATATAGATAGATAAATTTAAAATAAAATTATGATCCTTTTAATAAGCTTAATTATTCTACAATTTCATATTACGCACATAATATGCTGCTATAATTTAGTTTGTAATACTAGTGATACAGCAAGAAATTTCAAAGACTGTCATTTCGCAATTTACAATCGAATATGTCGTCAAAGTCAGAAGTTCAGTTAAACTGGTGCTTTTATAGTTGCGATAATAACTATTAGACTAGTCATTGGCAACTGGTGATATATGTAACGTTTCATTTTAAGCTCAATGTTGACAATTAATTACGGATTTCAGACCTGAAATCGTCTGGATTCGCGGGGATTTCCTGCATTTCGGAGGCAATTTTGATTACATTTCAAAAAAACCTTGATGAAGTACCTATAAAGTAATAACACTGCATTAATTACATTTGATTAATGTGATGAGTACCTGCAGCATTTACAGGAACAATTATTTTAATAAATGGGTTATCTATCCATCAAAGTTCATAATACGCAAATGACGTAGTATTAATTAAAATCAAGTCCTCATTTGCGATTATAATAGAACTTTCTCAGTATGACGTCGCCATTACTAATATCTATTGACATAATGTCAGTTAACAACTTCTCATTGTTGTTTGCTTAATTATGATTTATACGGCTGGTATGATTAAACTCTATATAGAAAGTATAACTTTAATCTAATATATTCAAGTTCTTTACTTTTGTCGTATTCATTAGTTTACTAATTATTCAAACTTTTCGAATGATATTATATCAACAGACAACATGCAATTAGTAGACGCCATATATAGCAAAAAAGAGACAGTCAAATAAGTGATTGTTTTAGTTTCTATAAAATTTAGATCGTTACGATTGCATTGTTGATAAAAGGACATTAACATAATAGATAGTAATATTGAAAATAGGTCTAGAAATATGCAGTACTGTACGTATTTATTCTAGATTAGTGCTTACACTATATACCCTTACTTGTCGACGATGACTGGGTCTGAAGGTGTTTCATTCCTGTTTCCGCAAGACTTTTTCTCTGAGCAGCGACTATAGAGAATAATAAGATAAACAATGGAAATTAATGATTGTAATTAGATAATACCAGCAACGGCAGAAACTGGACTAGTATAGTATACATCAAATAAGTTTAGAAAACTAATTAGGAAATCTATTACTTCGTAGGTGTCCTGTATGCGGTAAGTTGATTGAAAGCGTGAGCAGCAATACAAATTGCATTAGAAACTGTACAGTACTATTAATATCATCAACAGCTATTCCTTTATTACTAAGTAGTATATGACATATACATCGCAGCTTTAAACGATTGATACCATTGCAAAACAGCAAATGCTCTTGATAATATAATACGTACCGATAGGGTAAAATTACGGAAGCTGACTAGATAACTAATCTAATGCCTGACACCAGCAGGAAAGATACCATAGTTTATTATGTTAAAATGAATTTTACTCACCTGCACATAATTTCATGTGTCAAAAGTACACGCCTTAATTCGCTATTTTTCTCCTGACCTTCATATCTGATCAACTGTGAATAGAAGCTTAGAGTTTATAAAGGTATACTGGAATAAAAAAGAAGCCTTTAATTGCTTCTCGTTCTAATGGGAGCTATTTTAGCAATTTGCTTAAGTTTTCAAATGCGATAATATCAAACTTGGATAGCTGTAAAAACATTATTATTTTTTAATCTGTGATTTATCTATAGCACGTTATAACTGATCGGTATAGAAATTAACGCCTGTTCTGTACAGTACGAAATACTATGCACGATAGCTACAATAGAACGCAAGGTGTTAGAATTATAATCAACGATGTTAAACGAGGAGAAATAAGTCTAGAGATTCCCCTATTGAATGAGTACAAACTTATTAGGTGACTAATTAAGACGTTATGAAAGAGATTCTTCGAATTATTTTTAATCAACATGTTCCAACATCCTGCTATGTTATATTGAATTTTGGAGATCACATGGCTACGACAACTGCTGTGCAGGTATGCACTGCGTAGAATGGAAGTAATTAGACTGTAGAATGATTAATCTATTGTTATCGAATATTTACCTCTTTACTCACGGAGTCAACTAGGCGAATGCATAACTCCTTCTCGATTTTTAATCCTAGATAGACAAATTATAAGTTCGTTATATAAACCTATTAGCAATGCAAAGTAATTTAAGTGACAGCTTAAGTCATGAGGGAATTAGAGATCAATGGTAACTTCGACGTTGTTATTAACTTCACAGATTTAATAAACCATTAAATGAATATAAGTATATTACTATCAACAGACTAATCCATTAATCAGTATAAAATTCACTTGCTATCAATAGTTGAAGTTTTTTTATCGTAAGTTAGTCCAGCGTATTATATTAAATTTAATTAATGTTAAAAAATTTTCTACGGAGTCTTTCCTTCAATATAGTATCTAAAACAGTACAGTATTTCAAAAGAAGACACCTGTTGCTTAATAATTTTTAACGCGCTGCATTCTGGTTAATCTTGATCACTGCTAGCATGTACTTACCATTATCAAAACGAAGGTGTAGCTTGTAGGTAGCTCCGTTACTGATCACCACATTATCCTACGTAATTTTAGAGATAAAAAGCTAGTATTATGCTTATTACGTACTATAAGTGATAATTTGTTAAATGTTGAAAATTGTTACCAGTTAATAGCTAAATATAAAAATTTTTTTTCCATGTGAATAATTTGTATCAAGGGTATTTTAAAATTTTAATGACATGTTTAAAACGTAACGTAGGCGAATATTAACCGTAATGTTTAGCGTTAGATTAATTTTGGCAATACTATTATATTAATATACGAATATTTTAGAAAATAGACGAATTTTATACAGGTGTATTTGCTCAATAGTGATTATGCAAATGGGAGTAGGGTTCATCCGCATACGTGAACAATTGCTATCGGTTGTATATAGAACTATGTCCATGTTTATTACATTATTTATTTCATCCTGTCAACTAATAAAGTCAAAAACAATTGTAATGCCTTAAAAGAGATATTAACTATTTCTATAAACTAGTACTGGTAAATGGATCTGATTCGTCGCCTCTAGCCTAATAATAACTGTCCTGTTCATTACTAATACAGTTATTGTCTTTTTTTCTTATCTAATACATACATTAATTCTGATAAATACATCATGCAGGTTTGAGTATTATTGTTGCTAATAAAGAGATAGTATTAGCTGGTTAAATCGATTCCTGCTGATCTTTACACACGGATTGCGCAATGTTAATAAATTTGCTTCGCTAATCAATATCACAACAATAATGTCCTGATGGAAAAAATATTATGCAATGTTTTTAATACAATAAATGAAACACTTACTCTGATATCTTGTATGAAATCAACAAATTTAGCCATTTCCACTTCTACTAGCCGCTGATTGCAATCATGAAATGAAAGAACAAAGTGGAAGAAATTGCTTTTACGCAAATTAGATGGAGGCTGTTTCTCAAAATGAATCTTCACCAAACTAAGCATTGTAAAAAAATTTTTCATCAATATAAACATTTGCCCATCCTACCTATTCTTATACCTATATATTTAATATGAATTATCTTAAAATGAAAGACAGGTAAAAAATTAAAACAATCACGAAGACGAAACTGCTAAGGAAATACTGCTTTGAATGCGGCATGATTACAAACTTAATGATTTAATCAACACATAGCTTCATAGAATATTTTTTTTTCGATAAATCTAAAAATGCTCAATCTGATCGACTTCAGCGACAGATTGCGTATAAATTGAAAAGTAATGATAATTGTTAAGCTTTGATAGTACATAAGAGAACACGAAAGATTTAGTAAGTGAATCGCAGATTATGGACCTCAACAGTGTGCGCAATTATCTGACTGCATTAACAAAATCCCTAAAGGCTAAGTAGACAACAAACAGATGTAGAGATAGAGTAGGGAACACCTTCATTTAAGATTTAGCTCAATGCTTGTCTTAAGTCTTAAGGGAAAAAACGGTGTTAAAACGACAGAATTTGATTGCATCAAGTGTATATTGATAACTCTCGGTGGACATTTTCAAAGCAAACTAAGCCATGCTAATAATACATATTTAATTTCATTCAAACGATAAATCAGCTATCTCTATAAATACAAAAATTGGACGAATAAGGGAAAAAGTGCAAGCTAGAATTTTTTTAAACAGCGCTACGAACTATATGTACTCATACAAGCTTCGCTTCATTGCTAATCAGAAAACATGCTATAAATGTGTGCAAGCAATCTGTAAATGTTGAGCAATTCTCACCTCTCCAAAGGCAAATCCATAACGGAGTGATCATTTCGGAGCATAGCCAAATGGGGTGATGTTGCTTCCGATGAAGAAGTTTTTCTGACGCAATTCGTCGACATAGTTAATTATTTTGTCTTGCAGACCCGTGTACCACAGTCAGAAGCGATCTCTGAATGATAAATCGCTACTTTATTTTTGATAATTTTATAGGTTATGGAATGCTAACTCTATTGAAATTTGATTTAATTGTGTTCAACCTTGATATTATGTGTCAATGAATAAACTTTGCTGCCGGCTATGCTTGAAATCTCAAGAGACCTCCACAATTATCTCAATCAGAGGAGGGGAAATGCTAAGAAAACCTAGATTGTTTTCCTATGAAGCTTAGGTCTAGCCATATCCAAAAACATGTACTAGCCGCGATGTTGGTTTCTATTATATCCATCTAGTCATTCTACAGGTTACCTACGGGTATATTGTTATACGACGACTAGTCTGTCAATGACTAGCTTATAATGTCTATTACACTCCACATGACAATGCACAGAAATAATGCTGCAGCAGGAAAGCAGACCGAATCGCTGACCACTGAGCTCTATTCAATCAATTGTATTCCTTCTGTTTTGTCTTTACAATTCAGCTTGTCTATGCATTACAAAAAGATCCCTCATTATTATTATTATCGTCTATAAGTCCGTCGAGCTAGTAATAAAACGTCATTTAGAAATCAATAATGTTTATACTCTGTATATCACATGTTTACTACTTTGTATTAGTACCGTAGTTAATTGTGTAATTTATCGTGCTATGCATACATTGAGTGACTTGTTGCATGAACTCTAATCAACTGCTATGTTTTTCCCAAAAGCCAAGAATTATTTTCCGAAAATTACTACGATTTTAAGCGGGTTTTAGCTGAAAGAGGTTTAAATTACCTACAGTCGTTACCCATCTGGCGAAATATATATCATCGCATTACCGCTATAATAAATAATTATATTGAAGGAATTTTGTATCATCCAACTAAATACATCTAGCCTATCTATCAGTACAGACGAGGTCATAAACTAAATGAACTTGATGTTACATTATTTTTTAGATCGATTTAGCTCAATGACTAATCTTAAATATTAAACTGTATTAGTTTATTCTAAACGAGCATTTTAGAAATAAGTTTTATCCACTTTTAATCTCATTTGAGGATAAAGTATTTTAATATAGTTGTTAATAATAACCGCACATGTTTAAAGGGTACCACACATTTCTACATTGAAATACATTTGCTATAGTTATGGTAATATAATAATTCAATAGAAATTACAGTTAATTAATTAATTAATTAATGGACTAATAACGTATTAATACAGGTGGACTTGTATCGGTAATCGTCAAATTGATTTTACGATAGAAACAGGTGCAGTATTAGATGTAAGCTAAATCTGGAAAAGGTAAGTTCTCGTTTAGTATGATACTACCGCAACGGATCAGGATATGTAAAGCAGGATATAATACACTACAATAACATACCATAAATTATTGTAAATTGTTTCGCCTGTTTATCCCCTAAATTGTTATGCAACAATTTTCTTGCTAATTACAATATACTAGCGTTACCCTATAATTCTAAATATTTAGACTCTAAAACTTATAAATATAATATTATTTTTAGCGTCGCTATTTAATTTGCTAAGTATATTTTAATATTACTGTAATATCTGATCGCATCCTAGTGCTCACACTACAATAATTATTAGGCAACTTTAACTTTGCTTTAAATAAAAATAATGCAAGCTTTAATTGAAATACAGCATGCAAAATTTGTTTGAAAATTACTGGGTTTATCTTTAGGTATCAGTTAGATAATCTATCAAGCACTTTACGTTAATTTCGTAAGAGTAAATTGAATTTTTATTTTCGGGGGATGCATTTGAACTCAGTTTGTATTAAATCAGACACTAGTCTAAACATATAGAGCATTGCACGTGTCATCAGAATTACGTTGAGAACAGGATCGTAATTGCTAACGCATTCACGCGATACGTTTTAATAAATTTGGCTAGATTTACATTTTCTTGCAAGAATCTTGGTTCTCTATAGCAACGACTAATAAGCAGATCGATTTAACCCAGATCACTTCAATAATCGTTTGAAGATTGTCTCACATTTAAATGAAAGTATTCCATAGCCAAAGTTACAAATTTAAACACTTCAGGGAGTTAAATTTATGATTTCTAGTCACCTATTATAGAGATAAAAGCATTCGCTAGATATTGCTCATGCCAGATTAAAACAATATTAAAGAACTTGTTTATCCAATTATGCTCCACTCCTAAACGAGAAAAATAAATACAGTACATGAGCATTGGGAAATTATCGCAAGGGGAAAATTGGTTTGTTAAGCTAATCTGTTATATTTATTCCTTACGGACTCATTCTCGGATTGCATTGATACATCATCGACAATAACCAATTAATCGGTTACTCGTAGTACGCCCTTTAAATTATTGTTACGAGTCGAAAAAATAATGGAATATTACAATTACACTTGACCTTGCTAGAGAAAGCTTATATATTTATTTTCAATTGTTATTCGAGCTGGTAACCATGACTCGATTTAAGTCATGGCAATTTCAATCACGTATTCCCTAGTTGATTTCGTGGATGGAAGTAATGTACACATTACAATAATGCACGCATAAATAATTTCGTTGGCTGAAGTCGACTTATTCAGTATGGAAAGTAATTATACTGTGTGAGATCATTTTTCATCCTGACAGTAATAAAAATTAATGCCATTTTGCGATTTTAATTGCAATAATTTAGCCCAGATAGCGGATTGCGCAAGATTACTCGGCAAAAAAAATAAAAACAGATGATGAAAATTGATTATAATTGGCAACAGGTTCTACTGTAATGTATTGATTGTAATTTATTTGATCACTTGGGGCATGCCCGTAGGTATAGTATACAGAGACGGTACTGTTTTCAACGCGTATAATGTCATGCAGATGTAATACCTTTCTTAAAGTTCTTTATTTCAATGCTAAGAACATTAGAATCTCCCAAAGGTAATATAGGCATTGTCAAATTAAGATGACTTCAGGCACTAGAATAACAATACGATAACAGTGTCTGCAAGATATGGACAAGTCCTCCCTTTTATGATCACAATTACTTCTAGTTTCATCATCTTATAGCAAATTTCTTTAGCAGTAATTGTTTTATGCGGAAATTTTCTGCGGATCCAGGAAAGTAGGGGAATTTATTGATTCTCTCAAACTATACACAGATCAGCTGTTCTAAGTGTAGATATGCTCTACGTTCTTATAAATTATAAGCGAACTTAAATATGGGCCAGTGCAATTTTCAGAGTTCACAAATAACTACGTCAGCAAAGTAATGGGCGTTCCCTGCAACGATAGCCAATATTATAAAGTTGAACACCTACCTGTTCACTTGTTGACTGACCTACATGTATTTAGTACACGATAGTTTTAGAACAAATAAAGAAAATTGATTCAGTTTTTGATCAAACATCTATCATACAAGAATTTCGTATTTACATACTCTAAACGCATTGGTAGCCGATAGCGATTGCACACACTGCAAACATTTCAATTAATGTCAATTAAACAGGTGCGCCATGCAATAATTTTTAAATCTTGAGAATTTTTTAGATATCATTAGAGATACTTTTCTGTTTGGAATAGAACTTTTCTATAAGATTATTAATAGTGTAGATTGAATGCAATATTAGTAATCCCAAGGCTATTTTTAATTTAAATTTTTTGTCTCATTCATGACTATTAATCTCTAATTTTTGATACTCGTTTCCACTTTATGAATATGACTTACCGTTCTGCCAAAATATTCGTGTTTAAAATAATATTCGTGGGAACAGGAAACATAAAACAATAAACAACATGGGCATAGTGTTATATCAAATTGAATCACGACAATGTATTAACAGTTCAGTTAAATAAACTATATTAATTGCAAAATAATAAGACCATTATTATTCAGATCCAGTATACAGGTACAATTGTATATTGTTACTATTAGTTATTGCACATTGAAATTTGTAGACGTAAGGGTACACTACATGAGTGGCTTTTAAATACTGTTGCAAATTCTGCTGATAATGATGCAGGAACGCAGAGTTAAATGAAAAAAAAAAAATTGAATTCCGGCATTTATACTTTAGGGATTAATTGGACGATAATTTAGTTTAGTTATTTAATTATATCGATCGGAAATACAATACTGCATTGGAGTTATGAGTATTTAATTTGTTTTGAATGTCCGATGTGATATCTTTTTCTCTTATTCGTTTTTATTGCTTATAACCTATTCGAAACACGCATTTCTATGCTTAGATTATACAATAATCCTGCTTCTGTAGTGCAATATTTCTGAAATATCTATCAAACAGATTATAGAAAAAAAAAAAGAACCTAAACGTGTAGTAACATAGCATAATAAGCAAAGTGCGTAATGTAATTAAGTAAACACTATTTTCTTGCGTTTATTGAGATTCTATATACGTCTGTCGAGGTATTTAAAATGTAACGCCTACAACACCAATGACAACTACTATAGCGATACTACCCTATATTGTGATGTGCTTTACGATAAAGTCCTAGAAAGCAGTGTTCTCGCCGATATAATGGTTGTAGCAACCATAAATACACTGTAAGCTTTGACCATATGGTGGTATAATCAAGCTAATGCGGGGATATTTAGGAGGTTACTAGGCTAAAATCATCGCTAAATAGTTTTTTACTGTATCATGTGATTATTTCATGTACTCTGAAAAGTATTTTAACCTAATGTATAGGACTATTGCTCGGCATTAGGTGAGTCCGTGAATTCTAAACTAATTATGATGCATCTACAATAATAAAAATTTTTGATTATAAATTTCTCATATTAGTACAGTACTTCATTACATATGAGGCGAAATAAAATTGGATTGTTTCAGCCTTCCTTTTGAAAGACGATTACAGAACGCCTTAGTAGGCCCTATAGCAATAGTAAAGCAGTGTACAGTTTATAACACAACCCTGCTACATAGAAATTTCTCTGAGCAGAGTTGTCATGCAAGTTCGACCTAATGCGGTTCACTATTTAATCCATTAGCATGCAATACTCTTTACGCCTATGAGTCATAAATCGTCATGCCGGGTAGAATGATGCATACATGATGGACAGTCAATGAAGAATTTTATTACAATAAAAATTAGTGGCCGTGTAGTGAAGAAAGAAGAAAAATGATAGAGGTAAATCGTGATTTAGTGAGTCACGGATGGAATAATTACAGAATATATTGGCATAATGTCGATGGATTACTCATGGATGATTTAGTCATCCATGACTAATCTCGATGTTTGCATGATAATAACCGTTCCATAAATTTATATAATATGGTCATTACGTCACGCGCAACAGGTACTACTGTATTATGACTAATTTTCATCATATTGTTATTATCGATAGAACAACAACTTAGATCTCTGCATGTATTTCATATTTTCCGTATCCTCTAGTCCTATACCTAGTTTGCAAAGCACCCTAAAGCCCTGATTATCTGATTTTATTATTAGTTTATTATGATCAACAATTAAAATATCAATTAGCTTTCAAGACATCGTAGTGAACTGATTGATGGACTACTGAATATTCCTCTGGGAGCAATTCGAGTCCGTGACTGGTCCTAAACTGTACGCATGAATATTGAATAATGTAGTCTCGCACAGTTTGCAAAGCAGCTTGAAGCACCGATTATTCGATCTTATTGTTTGTTCCATTGATTATTGTAATATCAATAGCCTTCAAGACATCATAATTAAATAGTTGTAACCCACAGGGCTATTTTCTACTTGCTTACTCCTTACAGCTATTATTGCTGCAGTTGACTTTTTATTATTTATTTACATGGCTGCATGCTCCGAGCAATGCTTGAGGCTGTTTGCTTGTACGCATGCGTGTAATACAAGTCTAACGGAGGTAGCGACCATTCATGCTACACATTGCTAGGGAAGTACTTACGTCTTGGCTATTTAAAGCATTTTGTAAGTAGATATAGGTTAAAATGAACTAATAGACTCATTAAGTCATAGTATCGATTGCTTAAGCTGATAAAGGTTTTACAATACGATGAGATTTGATGTAGAGATGTTTTATGGTAGTATTAAAAGGAAGGATGATGATAAAAATGAGCTAATGTGTAATGATGGTAAAGATGAGCTGATGTATTTGCAGCCTATGCCATGCAATTCGTATACATTGCACATCCAGATCACATACTATCTACAACAAGAAGTATGACTACAATTGATCGATAGCATACAGTATAACAAATTGATTTATATATTGCACAGTACTGTACTTTATACTGTACAATTGACATTGCTGACAATTCTGAACTTAACCACTTGGTCAATGTGCGAAGCTAAACATCATTTCGTATACTGTAACCAATAGACGTGTACTCATTTTGTAGCATTTTCAAGGCCCCAGTACATTATACAAATCTTGGACATTAATTTGAGTTGAAATGTCTACCAGTTTAATCGAAGCTGCAAAGAGAGCTGCAGCTATAGCTGCGGTTAATGCCCATGTTAAAGTAAGTGATGACATTAATTAACTTTGCATATCGTAAAAATTGTACCAGCAAATATTGTCAACGGATGACTTGCAGCGACAGTGGTTGCATTGGATAACACAATATCAAATTCTTGTAATGTCTTCAAAGAATAATCAGGTTGTCGGTATTGGAAGTGGCTCCACAATTGTATATGCTGTACGTCGATTAGGTATGCAACTACTATGTTTGTAATGAATGGAATACGATGTTACAAATTACTGTAATACATTGAAAATGAGTTTTAGCTCATATATTGCATCTTAATGAAAGATATACAATAGCTAGGAATCATTTACTTTAATTATGCAGTAAATAACACCAGTTAACATTGCAATTCCTATAACCGCAAATAATATGCCTTGTTTGTGCACTCAATAGCTGAGCGAATGACTGATGAAAACTTGCAAATTGTCTGCATCCCTACGTCCTTTCAGGTTAAGCTAGCAAGATCTTTACAATATTTACCATACATACTTTTTGAACAACATTGTTGCAGCAGCAAGACGTCAAAATTTTTTAGGAGTTGCAAACATTATCTAACATTTTAAGTGATTTGACGTTATTATTTTCCACAGGCCCGGCAGTTAATTATAGAAAATAAGCTGACTTTAAGTGATCTGGAAAGACACCCTCAAGTAAGCTACTTGATCTACTATATACTGATTGTATTGGTAATAAAGACGAAAAAATTTTCACTCTATTCCATATCACTTACAATAATCGAGAAACTCTTTCGTTTAAAAAGCTTGATGTAGCTATCGATGGAGCTGATGAGGTCGATGATTACCTAAATTGTATAAAGGGTGGCGGGTAAGAAATGGAACTATAACCAAGTCTGTAAATAACAGATGTATAAATTTACTCATATACTGTAATCTTATCATCGATACTTAATTACGGTACACTGTAATATGAAATGTTATGATACACCTATGGCTTCAAAACTTTTGGTTTATTTTATCTCTATCTTTTCTAGGGGATGCCACACACTAGAAAAGATTATAGCATCATCTGCGAAGAAATTTATCGTGATAGCAGATTACCGGTAAGCATGCGTAATCCAGTAATGGACCTTTTTCGTTTTTAGCAACTAAAGTTTGATGAAAATTTGCTATGAAGTAACTATTTGCATTTTACGTATACTTACTCTACTAGTAAAGATTCAAAGACCCTTGGAGAGAAAGTACTGGTGATATAATGCATTTCGTAAATGTTGCAACTGCTTTATAGCTCATGTTCTCTTTCTCCGAATTTGTTTCGGTTAGTGGACTAAAGGCATTCCAGTTGAGGTACTACCGTTTGCTTATGCGACAGTTAAAGCAAAAATTCATAAATTTGGTGGAACGCCCGTACTACGAATGGCGATTAATAAAGCAGTAATGCAATCTACAATTTCTGAAATTTTAGTATAATCTTAGTATTACGACCGAAACAATGTTTAATCCTTAGCTATAACTAATTGATACTGATATAATTCTGATTAATGTATAGGGACCAGTCGTAACTGATAGTGGAAATTTTATCTTAGATGTCACCTTTAATTCTGTGAGTGCAGTTTACAGCGTATAAAACCCTTAAATATTATTGCTTTTATAGCCAGTTTCTGGCCGAAACAGTACGTATTTTGGTCAAATTTTCATTTTGTACTTTTATTGTATTGTGTTATTATAGGCTATGGACTGGTCCAAGACAAATCAAGATTTAACCATGATACCTGGTATACTCTCACTTTATTTTATTTAATGAATAGCGTAGGTCCTTTAATATTGTCCCATGAGCTAATCTTATTACGATTATTACTAATAACAGGAGTTGTCGATACCGGACTATTTGTCGGAATGGCCGAAAAGGCCTACTTTGGTATGGAAGATGGTAATGTAAAATCTAGAGATCGGCCAACTTAAAATGGATCTATCCACTTTGTTATATAATTAAATCTGATTGTGCTTGTAATGTACAACATAATAAAACTAATATACTGGTATCATGAAAAACTGTAATTACCGTTTGCCGAATTACAGTTTCCACGATTGTTGAGAATATGTATGCAGTATTTATAGGATCATCTGATACTATTGTGATTTTTTTTCATAACTCAAGCTTATTTACTTCCGCCTGAGATGGATCTGCCAGTATTCTCGACAATATACACTATTTCATATAGGGTTGATTAAAACATTTTACTTTTACTTTTCTCCATTCGTAACACAATAGAATCTAGAATCTAGATTGGCTTTTGTAATAAAGTGATATAACAAAATGATTCGGATGCACGTACTATGTGAATTTGACTTAGAACAGGTAAAGCTGTATAATGTGCACGTATTTCCATTACTTTAAGTCGACTTTGAGTCTTATCTCCAGTCAAAATATTTTTATCATCTGTATGGAAATGCTTCGCCAAATTCTTAAAATCGACGAGCATGACAATATGGCAATATACATTTTATGGTCAATCTATTTTTTGGAATGATTGTAAATTTGTTAGTGTTATCTTCCGAATAAGATTCCTGTATCGTTGCCGAACTTTTAACCTATCGACCGAAAAATCCACGTCATCTTCCGCTGTTCTTGGTCATCAATCATCTGTGCATTTATCCATAAATTTGATACACTTTAACTTACGGAGCTATTTCATCAATAGCTAATCCATCGGTCTGTTAAAGTTGTACATATAAGTACCGTCATTTAATATTACAGTACTATTGTCTATTTAGCAATGTTTAGTTTAAGTTTTATGTTTTGGTTCCATGTGCACTATTTCTGATGAAAAGTTTACGCTTTCTGATTCTTTTGATACCTGCAAGGTTGCAAGGATCGTACTGAGTTGTGTCTCCATCAATTGCATAAATGAATAATGATAGTATAAATATCAATAAAGTCTATTCTTAAGTAGTAGCATTACTTTCTTTATTTTCTCCACACTACCTGGTAATATTCCTATTTTAAATAACCTAAGCAATTGCTAGGGTACAGTATAATCATATAAAGGAAAACTTATTTCTATGTAATTTACTATTGTATTGATTGTGCTGATTTTAAACTTTTAAGCAGAATACATATGTATGCAGTACTGTGGTCTATTTTAATACCCGGTACTGTTTTTCATCGTATAGTCCTTAATAACTCAGTTTTGCTCATTGTAAGATATTTTTTCTATAGTTTAGCTCAGACTGCGACATTAGTAGTTGAAAATGAAGTATTTTAACCCCCTTGATGATCTTACATACATCTATTCATCACTATCAAATAAATAGAAATACGCATATAATATAGCCTTCAATGAGTATTGTAAATGAATTTCCTTCAATGCGTCAAACATGCACTCACTGAAATATAGCCTCCACAGTTAATTTCAGGTAGAGCATAGAGCAAACGATTAAAAAACTACAATCTAACTGCAAATAATAATTTGCAGTTGCCAATCATATTTATCATAGTTAATAGGTTGAAATGATCTTCTGTGTAGGTTATAAAATCCTACTAGTAACATATGTTCGATCGTTTCAGTTTCAACGTTAAGCTAAGCCGCATGCTCAATCTTATTTTTAAGAGTAGATCAAGACAAAATGGCTTCCGAAAGCTTAGAGCTCTACATAGCGGCTTTTAGCGTGTTTGTAGCACCAATTTTAGTCGTGATTTGCCTACGTTTGGCCAAATATCTAAAATTTTCCGATCAAAATGATAAAAATATAGTTCTGATTGGTTGTGATACGGATTGTGGTCAAGCATTACTGCAACAGCTACTGCAACACCGCGGCCATATATTCGCAACGTATAAAGATGAAGACAAAATGAAAGATTTATTACCTGATTCTCCTTCGAATATTACATTCATGAAATTAGATCCCAATGAAACAGATGAAATTGACAATACAATTAAAGCCATAACTAAAGAGCAAATGCAATATGGTAGTATTTGGACTCTCATTAATTTAACAGGTAATGGTATTTGCAATGCTGCAGCTGAATGGTGTCCAAAGGAAATTTACTTGAACTCTGCGGATGATAACCTATGGGCATCTGTTGAGGTTATAAGAAGATTTTTGCCTGTTATTAAAGAATCTCGTGGAAGAATAATACAGTTAGGGTGTTCATCGGCTACAACGATGAGTCGAAAAACCATAGCTTATTGTGTAGCCAAAGCATCATTAAGAGCCTTTATTGAGAGCTTAAGTATAGAGATGAAACGCTATAGCGTTTCGGTCCACTGGATAGAATTAAAATCATGCTATGAACAATACGAGGAAGAAACTAATGAAGCACGAATTGACCGATGCAAACAGCAATTCTGGAATGAAATCAGTAGTCTAGCCAAATTAAAATTCAATCAGCAATTTTATGACACATGTAAGTTTACTCGGAAAGCCTAAAATTAATTTAAGTAATAAGAGCTACTGTATTGTTTAGAAAATTACAATTTAGTGTACACCAATCCTTAGATGCTGGTCTAATTTGGAAGCAACTTAATCCTTCTTAATATAGTGTGGTAGACTTCTACCCGGGATCGTTTAAAATAAACTCTCAGTAATTTTTAAAATTATCCTTAGTTGTTACAGATTATTCTCGCAAAAATCAAGCATACTTCAAGAAGAATATCCATAAAATCATGTGGGCAATAGAAAATGCAATTTTTAGCTTTAATCCCAGTGATGTATATACAGTTTAGGTCCATAGTCTGCAAATCATGGTAGACAGAAGTTCAATAACCGCAAGATGATGCAAACTGCTTATTTTCTGCATATTAACATTTATATTAAGGATATACATATAATCAAGTTTAGTTTCCACACTATCGACGAAGGTTCATTTTCACTTCTTATCTGAACTAACCAGCTCAATTTTGTAAATTGAATAAAATGGAAGCTAGCTTTATTTATAAAACATTGAAATTCCGGCTGTATTATAAATTATAAATGGCGCAGTAAAGTTCACTATTTAAAGCTTCATTTATCCTTTCAATAACTATCTTTCGGTGAGACAATTACTTTGCTATTGAATACTTTAGAAGATAACTCTAGAAGAGTGAAAATAATAGCAAGTCATTATCGTATAGAAAATAAACGTATTCTCTAACTGCCTTTGCCTAAGGCGCCTACGCCAAAGATTCGATAGGAATTGCAAAGTTAAAATGGAGTTAAATCGCATGATATTTATCTATATTACTGGTGAGGTATTTAAAATGAAAATCTACTCCTAATGATAAGCCAATAGTATTACTGTAACACTATTAGTATTATCCAATAGGGCATAAGAAACTACTCAGATGAAATAATTCCTAAATCTAAAAATTTAACTTCGATATTAGTTTGTTCATCATTATCTCTGCACGTGATATTTTAACAAACTCTTATTTCTTGACTATTTCGTAACAAGTATGATTTCAATGCATTTCAATTTTTTAGCCATGGGTTATTTACATTTCTCAATTTAGCGGTGTACGTCATAAAAAATTTTCATTCTGTATTTTATGTGTGTTCGACAGCAAAGATTTTCAGAAGGTTATTTAATCATAACGAACAATTGCATTCATTCATGATTAATTTTCTTTTCATTGCCTGATCGGGAGCAGCCTATGTAGTAAATTATTCAATGCTATTTTCTATCCATTATTGATATATTAACAGCCAAGGTACCTCTATTATATTATCTCGATAATAACATCACTTATAGGGATTGATAAATTATTAAATAGTACATAAAACTGAATTATATTCTGATGATTACCTAAGATACTTCGGTTCGGATTAACAAATACCGTATATAATTAATAGATCTTTGTTTGTACAGTAGCTAGCTGAAATTAGTATTATCGTCTTTGGAATTAGCACGGTACAGGAAAGTAGTGATACTTGATGAAATTCGGCTATTAAGAGCTGTATATTTATAGCATAGTAGTTAAAGAGCAGTTTCATCACAGAAAATGGATTCTTCATTGAAAATAACACATTAAAACAAAACCTAGAAGTAGAGCTAAAAATAACAGTGACCATTAGCAAGAGCATTCAATTCGTTTTTTAATTCATATCATGTACTTCCATAATGTTATAGTTTACGTAATATGTAAAACAGGAAGTAAATGATATATCATCTTTTTCTTGATTATCAAGACTAACCTGCCGTAAAAACATCGTAATCTTGCTGTAAAAGAACATTATTAGATAATAGATGCCATATCGATGTAATGCTAATCGCTAAATAACGAAAAAATTTCCATCATTATCCTAGATAAGGATGGTCGCCTTCAAAAATATTAAATTCATGTTTGAATTATAGTCGTACATAGTTGAAGTATCACAGTTTTACTTAAAATAGGAACAAATTTGAACAATAGCCATTCCATGTGAGGTACAGATTAAACGAAATAATGTTACTAAGCTGTTCAAATCATAACTTTAATCATACAAGATTTTCATTTCTTCCTGAAAATAAAATGACCTAATATCCAATATTCCTCCAATATAATACGATAACAATTATTAAAGCTACGGCATCATACTTTTAGCCATTCTGTCCTGCAATGGTAAGCTCAGTCCCAAACACGAGAAACTAATTAATTTCTACAGCCTTAGGTATGGGTCATCGCCTATAATATCAACCACTGTTATACTTCTGTTTTAAGCATTTAATTTCAGCTATCGCTACTAATTTTAGAAAAGGGCTAAGGCTAACGGTGTCAGAGAGCTATACAAGCGATATTTCGATTCACTAAGGTAAATCGAAATTTACATTCAAAATCTCCACCCTGATAGAGTTAAATCATTTAATATTCATACCACTACAAAGAAAAGATGGTCAATTTTCAAAAGCTTCAAGTTCCTAAATATTAATATACGTGTACATTATCCATTAAAATTTTTATCCGTTAGTTTTCACCAAGTAATTTTTAACAGGTCACGTAAATGGACTCTTTTGCAACTATGAAATCGAACCATTGGAAACCTCGATTCCTAAAGTAATGTTGTTATGGCCATGTATAAAATGTTATTTTTTGTGTGGGCTAGTTTACTAACAACGTTGCAGTTCTTGATTTTAAGTCTTCTATTTAGCGAAATGCACCGACAGTGTACCGCTAGGTTGACTCATTATGGATAACATTCTATTATTACCATAGCACTAAATAGTCAGAAATAACATAACACGCTGAAGCATTAATAATGTATCTATTAATGGCTTATTTACTCATGTAAAATTCAATAGCTTGCACCTGCTATGATTGTCTTTAAAAAGACTTGAAAATCAAAATTACCATCATAATACCAATAATGCGCTAGTTTACGTAATAAAAATTTAAACAAGTAATCATATAGTTATCTGTATAATTTTTCTTTTAAACGACAATACCAGTTTAATACTACGGTCTATCTATCTAATTATCGTTAGCCTATAATTGCAATGCATTTGATTGTAAATCAAGAATGTTGAGTCAACAAATATGTTAGCAATAGTTAAAGTTTGTCATTTTTCCCTAAAATCATTGTTTCGATGATTAATTGACAACAAATTATAGACTATGTTCGCATCTGTATATAGTATAAAAAATGTACTACCAGCCAAATCCACACTGTAGTTATTTAATCTTGTACGTTTGTCTAATCCTTGTAGATCTATATTTGCACTAAGATCGAGTTTCAGAATTAGTGCGAGGATTTTCGCTTTTATGGTATAAAAAGATCGAGCATCTACCTATCAAGTTATTAACTGAAGGAAATTCCGCCATACTTGAAGAAATAACGTTGAACGGATTAAATATAGGTTACAAGTGAGTAATACCAGGATTAATATTCAAATGTAGTTGTCTTGTATGATAGCGATTAACATTTTAATGACTAATTTAAGCTATTGTAGCGGTTAGCGTGAGGATTTAACTAATAAAAGTCAATTTGGGTCCATACTAATGATAACAAATATTAAGCATTAGATTATACAGAATATATAAAACGGCATACAATATAGATAAGATCTATAAATCGGCGGATATGTGCTAGCACAGCACGTAAGGTAATCTAAGCAGTATCCTTAGTTCTTGGATTGAAACTCATTAATAATTTCGATTGATGATTAACCTCGCCATTGAAAATATTTCTACTTAGTCTTTATATCACTAAAAGCTTATCATTAATATCCAACTAAAGCGTTACTTTTTTCATCAGTGAAATAAAATAAAGTCAATTAGAGGTGTACAGATGATAATAGTAAATTATTGTCTTGCCGTCCTTCCTATTTAGTTCCATAATTAGCGCTATATCAATTGCTATGACACTAAAACTAGTAATAGCTATGAATCACTACATCTATACTTCTGAATGCACGTCGTAAAAGTTGTTCTATCGCATATGGTTATTTTGTAATTTAGAACGTTTATGGATGCATAAAGTATGAGGCATAAATAACTCAAGTATTACCTTTTATAATTAATACTATCGGCATAAATTAAAATATTTTGGTATTTGATTAAGAAATTTTTCGATTTGATACAAAAGTGATCAGACTAATATCAGCCTTAATTGAGATAATTTTGAATTTGAGAAATTTTTCCAATCGGTATAGTCAAAATGGCTCAACTGATATCACTGACCTCAATTAAGGTACGCGTATTTCATTGAAAGAAGTTATTCGGATAGTTATAAAAATGACTCGACAGATGTCAATCTGGTAAATTTTAAAAAGAACAAGTTATCAGTGATGAATTTCTAAACATCGCCAGCATCGACTCTAATTGGATCATTTCTCATATTATGTTGTACAATACAAGACATTTATAATATTGGCACCCAAATTGCTTACACTAACCGCTGAACTGGTAAAAATCATAATTTACGCTTTATTTTAGCTATTATTGTATACGAGTATTCTTAACCGTACTTATGATTCCTTTTTGATAGTAAATTGTAACTGTCGTTAAAATTATCGCTATGAATGCGATTCTTAGTTTTACTGGTTAGACTATGAAATAGAATTAAAGTAAAGAGGCTCCGAGAGATTTTTTAAGACAAAGCTTTAACAGTCGAAAGTACGCCAATGAAAGTCCTGTAACAGCTTAATATTAACGATGAGGCCTCGAAAGCAATCTGTATTGCTTCTAAAATATTTCTCATGCAATTTTGTTCATTATGGAAGTAGATTTGATCTAACTTTCTTTACTGGTATAAATGTGCTTAGACATATTAGAAACTACTGATGAAATCTATAATAAAATTAACGATCTAAGTAATGATTCTGAACGTAGACCAGCAGCTTTCGGTATCGTACTACAATATCATCTCTAACTTAAGCCGTACTATAAATAAAGAAATTAAGAATTACCCTCGTTAGCAGACAAACATGTGAGCAACATCGTACACATAGAGTTAATTACCAGAAGCATTTCTCATCTAGTTAATTTACTAGAAATTAAGTTTCGATCTTACTCCTATTTTATTGATGCAAACAATACATCATTATCTGATGATAATTAAAATATTATTAAAAATGTCAATAGCAAATTCTGGTAAAAAAGTTTTTCATAGACACATCAGAGATATTGTTCGAACTTATTCCTAAGTATAGCAGCGGGAAAAACCTATTATATACTAATATCTGAGCAAAATGAATCTAATACAAGACGAATTTAATAACTAGAACTTGTAAATGTCTAATTGATACATGTAGATGATTGTTGTAGCAAGA